TTTCCCCCCCCCCCCCCCCCCCCCTCGCAGTGCCCCCGAAGTAATGTGTCGAAGGAAGTCAGTCATCATGTGTTTGGCGTCACGTTTGTAATTGTCAGATTCGTTGTTGCTCCGGTAAACTGCAGCATTGGGAACGGGAGCTGCCTGTCTTCCTGTTTGTTTCCGTTCGTTTTGCCCCCCTCTCTTCCTCTCTTTCTTTTTAATTTTGTCTTTCGTTCATGCATGCCTCCTGGCCGTTTCTCTTTTCTTTTTTTCGTTTTTCCTTTTTGTTCGGAGGAATTTTTTGCTGTTCATTTTTTCTTTTGGAAGGTGTACCCCTTTGGGAGCAGTTGGCTTGTGACCAAGGAAGGCGTCCGCGTCAGTTGGACTACTACCGACATAGTAAGGTACTTCGCGGAGACGAGAACGGTTTTTGATGAGAAGACGAGAACACAACACACCCACTAGGAAAAGTTCACCCCGTGGGGATTCGAACTCACGACTATTCCACTAGCGGGTTCGAGGTTACCTCCAGGTCACGGGGGTGACCGGCGTTCGTGCGTCAAAGCTGCCCTATACCGTAATTGCTTTGCGGAGGCTCATGGGTCGCTCATGACCACGAAAGTGCGAGGGGTACTACAACGGCTGAAAATCCTAAACCTTACACGAAGCCCAAACGGTACGTGCTACATAAGTTGTTCTAGGTTGACTTGCTGGTGACTAATTTTGAGGTTGATGTGCCCACGGTGGGCACTTCGTGGACGGTCCATGGGCTGACTGCCTGTCGTTGCCCCATGGGCGGTTAAGAAAAGGTTCAGTGGTGTGAAGGATTGGGTGCAGTACGGGCCCACAGTTCAAACAAATTCTGTTAAGACAATATTTTGCAAGATTTCGCGAAAAAGAAGGAAGGGCCAAGGAACACAGCTCGAACTCGGCAACAACTGAAAAATGTCCAGAAAAGAAACAAGACGGTGCGACACCCACCAGACACTACAGAAAAGGGGTAGTTGGAGAAGCGTGTTGAATAATAAACGCACTGCTGCTCTTTCAGAGCTCGTGCCATCAGCGCCACCGCGGGCTGCGCTGCCCACTGGACTGCCGCTGTACTATACTTGTAAAGTCCGCCATACACCGCGGACCACCACATGCTGTCCGCTGTACGGGTTTGATGGCCTTCTCCGTCGCCTCCCTTGGGGACATAAAGAAGTTAATTGTCCTCAGAGTTCAAGAGGAGCTGGCGACATCTCAAGTCCTTAGTGAAGCGAGGGAAGACATAACTCGTAGAGCGAAAACAAAATCGCGTCACAACTACTACGAGTACCGCGTCACACTGCACCCTGGTGGAAGCACCCGCAGTGTGACGTTGCCGTTGGGAGTCTTGTAGCACAGATGAAGCCACGGTCGTTAGGACGAGGGTGCTGCTAGAAGTAGAAAAAGAGGAGGGAATCAGGAAGTCTCGGAGCGCGACAACCCCGAGTGTTTCTGGTTAATGCTCCGTTAATGTATATTTTTGTCCAAAAAACATGTACAATGAAATATAAGAACAAGGAAACTCGACCCGATTTTGACGTTTCGTATCGGAGGGCCCGTACGTGTTTTCCGCGCTGTTCCAATGCGATGCAGGGGCCCAATTTTGAATTCCTTCAAATGTTCGGGCCACCGATAACACGTACCATCCTGTCGACCGGAGCGAAGTCAATGAAGCAATCTTCGTCCCACCGGGTTGGGCGTGCCGCAACAATACCTATACCTAGACGTGTTCATAGATTGATAGGTACACATTCCTACGACATGCATATCTCCCATCATCCAAGGGAGACAAAATCGGAGCTCGCACGCACATAACGAAAACCTACCCTCTCATCTGCTGTTTTTTCCACGTACGGTGATCTTCATGAACGCCGCTCGGTTTATTGAAGCCATCGCCAACCATATCGCCTAAGAAGCATGTTGCGGGGGAAACTTGACTAGGCAAGCTATATGTGCTCCGGCAAACCATACAAAAAAAATCGAAGACGGTGATCCTTCGAGGTAGCTCTTTTTCCGTCGGTACGAACTCGTGACGTCTTCAAACGTGAACTACAACACTGATCAACCTTCCTCGACGACTAGCAAGGTTGGTATTTTAGTGGTGAAAAGGATGACGATGGCATGGAAGGTACTTTTCTTGGGCGTAACGAAGGAAACGGGAAGGGTAACGGAAGAAAGGATAAGGATGAAAGCCATGACTGACGGGATAATGGCGCGGAAGAGGGCAAGAGTTTTGACCCAGTAGAAAAAGGAATTTTGTCTTCAATGAACGCAAGAAAGACCGATGAAAATAATCCGACACGAACGTTCGTCCAGGGCACGTATATATGATAACTGCTTTGGAATATCCGCAGGATAACACTGCCTCCCCATGACGCCACCTTGTGGGATCCAGAATCATGGTCAGTGAATGCAGTTTGTTTTTCCAACTGCCCTGAGACTGACGTCTATTCTTCCCTCAGCCGGCTACGGGGTTGAGGCTGAGTGTTTGACCCACCAAAAAATATACTGTGGTCTTACTGAATGTCGGATCTGCCATATAATGTCTGATCTACCGACTGGGGGCGACGGGGCGACAAGGTGACGGAGGTCAAGTAGGTCTGTCAGAACGGCCGACGTGAGCTGCGCGTCTATTGTCGACGCTGTTGTTGAAGATTACGATGACCACTACACCACTGGTCAGCGTTAATGGAACGTGTGACGTTTTCTAGACAAAATATATTCGACGGAACACACTATTAGTTAATGGGCAGACAACGAAGTCTTTTAAGCTAGGTCTCGCCACCCAAACTTTCACATTCTCCGCGCGAAGGTCGCCCGTCAACATGCTTCACGGGACGTTGTCTGACTCGTTCCTGCTTCGTAGCGAAATCTGAATTCGTTTCAAATCCCTACTACCCGCTTAACAGTGGGCCCCCACGATACATCCAAGTCGGATCCTGCCTCTGAGTACTCAGCAGCAATTGATTAAACCTTCACAACGCATGCTGTTCAGGCCGCAAACTGGCTGCTCTCGAAGCGTGGTGCTGGCTGGTCACGTGGTAGGGCATGTCCTTGTGTTTCTCTGCACGGGGCGCACCCAACTACCAGGGGTACGCTTCGTTTGTGGTTGGGCCGCAGCTTAGTCCTAACAGTCAATTGCACTCATGTTGACCTTGACAGTCAACCAAGAACCATAAACGCGGAGATGGGACCGGTTGGGAAGATGGTACTGAGGTGCGAGAAACAGAAAAAAGGCATAATCTGATTTGATTTCCGCATTGGGGTCGGCAAGATGAGACGGATTCGATTTGATTTCCGCATCGAGGTCGGCAAGATGGGACAGGCCGCAGAGATGCGAAGATGGCACCGGGGTGTATGCACACAACACCGCGAGCACCTAGGGGCCCAATTTGTGCATGCCATGAAAAAAGCCCAACGAAATGATTTCATTGCAATTCCGCACAGTGCCGGGGACATTTCGACAATAAATATCCGAGGAATGAAAATATCGCATCCGGTGCTATCAATACGTCTTTATTGCATACGGCAGTTTACTGCTGCTGTACGGTCTCGCGCTTGGGTGGTCGTGATCGTGTTCGGTCTCGCATCAGTCGGTGTGTATTGGAATTAACCGATACACTGTTCTCCGTTGTATATTCAGGTTTAGATTACATACCTTCACGGTAGACTAAGCCAAAGGCAAATGCTTCGGCCCCTCACAAGTGAAAATAGTCGGGTTGAAACGAAGCCAGTCTGGCCAGCTCGCCCGCCAAGAACGGTACAAAACAAAAAAAGCGCTATCAACAGCCGTTCCACTAACAATTGAAAAATTCAGAGATGGCGGGCGAACGCGGAGTCTTTCTTTGCCAGCACAACAATTGCAAAGCGGGGCACACGTACCGATGCATCCAGATCTCCCCCATGTTCTCGGCCATATCGTTTCGCTCGTCCTGCCACGGAGCCACCCCTCGGTGGCCACTTCGGTAGCATTGCACCAATTCCGTGTGGTCGAGCTCGGGGACGCCTTCGTAGACGAAGATTGCCACTTTGCCTGGTGGATGTCGGTGTTTAACCGGTCGCACGTTTACGATGGGTTTGGCTTCCGGTGACGAAACGACTGCTTTCCATTCCTTTAGTGCTCTCGATGCTCTCCAAGGTGTTCCTCCGCCCTCAGTTCCTGGTGTATGAGTTGTTGATCCGGTATCCCCGTCTTCTTTCGTTTGGAACTCGTCGCTCTTCTTATGCGATAGCGGCAGTGTAGCCTTGAACCCGCTCTCAGTGGTCGGCCGTTCCGGCGGCAACATCATGGACCTACCACAATTGCCAACTGGCACCAGCAGCACCACAGCCGCTCCGAGAAAAGCCACGGCGAACACGAACACCAGGGTTCTCTTGCTCATCAGGATAATCGTTCGATTGACCGTACCGCTGTTGCTGACGTTCCCGACGGTGCCGCCGTCGCCTGGATCACACGATAGCATGACTTATCAAACCAGTCTCTCCTTTCACGGATGCGGACGGGGCAGAAGCAGAACAGGCGGCACACGTGAAGGGTAAACACGGTTGTCTGTGGGTGAGACGATTGGCGATGATAATGTATTTTCATAAAAGCGAAGGAAGGACCGGTCTCGACCGGCGCACCAAGTTAGAACAGGAAGATCCACAGAACTCTCCATTGGGTCAACCCATAACAAGACCCCATTTCATTGATGTTCGTGTTCCTATTTGGGGTAAATTTGCCTGGGACCACCGGCATCGACCGCGTCGAGTTTTTGACTAGTACCGACAGGAGAAGGTACTAGGTACTGGGTGCAGCTTACCCCAATACCAAACTGTCTTTCCGAAACAAATATGGTATAGAACCAGTGCCCTGCCGCTGACGGAATAAATATGGGAAGGTGTGCCGATTCTCGAAAAGGTCAATCAACGGATACCCTTGGAATCGGGTCCTTTTCAACCAATGCGTGAGCCTCAGATGAATAGGAAGAAGACCCTACCGTCCAAAGAAGTCACGAATCATTTTCGAGTGAACAGCCCGACGTAGACTGTTCGGGATGCAGGGGGAAGCCGCCTTATTTCGGCGCGCTTTTGGTGGTGCAGCGCCCGAGACGCACGACCGCCCGGCCCCGCGACGGCAGGTATTGGTGAACAGCCATTTCTGGCGGACACCGCGAGGAAAGGAAACGTCCGTCGGGGATCCTGCGCGGCCCACCCCGAAGAATCGACGTTAACGTCTTACCTTGAGTGAAGGGCCTAATCCCGCCGCTGCGCTGTCAGCGCTCCGGTTCTGCGGTTTCAGCGCTCGAGGGAGCTGGAACAAGGGTCTATCCGAAAAACATTTCAGTACTCATAGACCTACTCACCCACATCAGGGTCTGTGGGGAGGGTGTACTCATAGTCGTGCATGCCGTAGTCGTAANAGTCGTGCATGCCGTAGTCGTTAGACCATTGACCTCGCATCCCTACAAAGCCGGGACGGAGCACGCCGGGTTCTCACCGGACCAGGCTCTCACATCACCAAGCGCGAAGCGCCGTGAGATATTCGGCGAGTGGCATGAAGGGTGCGCTGCATCCTGGTCTGTGGGGGGGCGGGGCATATACTCATGAACCCTCGGGTTTTACGCCGAGGCGTCGGCCCTTTGGCGTCCGTTTCTCGTTGTGTGCATCGCCACTGGCGCTGCTGGCGCCGTGGAGCTGTGAAGACCATCACAACTCGAACACCACAGGTTAGTCTTCGCAATCTTCTCATGCATACCCCCATGAGCATCTAGGAGCAGCCGCTAGCCCCGTCTGGCCGATTCGTCAGAGCGAAATGATGGAGGGAAGCCAAAGGTACTCCACAAATTTAATGCCGGGAAGCATCGCCCACGTGGTCAGGAACACGAAGTCTTCCCCACTGGCGCACATGGGACCACGGAAGAAACGGCGCATCTCGCCGAAACATGGGCGGCACCCGGTCTTCCGAGGACATGAGCGAAGAGGAAGGAGAGGACGAGGAGGAGGAGGACGAGGAGGAGGAGGACGAGGGACGATGACGACAATCACCTTGACCACGATGTCGACCACGACAATAATCATGTAGACGAAGAAGAAGGGGATGCACGGGCAGGGGAGGTGGAGGGCAAATGCAGAAGACGACAGGCTCCAAGATGTGCAGCGAAGTAGGGGTCCACGCGAGTAAGCGAGGTAGAATGATCAACTCAAAAACTTAACCCGACACGGTTGCGGGTAGATTTGCGCGACGATGTTTCCTGTGTGTAGTGGTAAAAACGACAAGGCAGGTTTGCAAGGCAGATGGTTGGTTCAGTGGATGGTCGTCAACGCTTGTAAACCTACGTGGTCAATGATCTGTTCCAAAAGAAATGGGATGTCACCTGTACTTTCGTGGAGATAAGGCGCTACACGCAAGCTTGCCTGCGTGTTTCTGTGTCTCCCTGTAGTACGGCTGGGTACGAGTGGGGCGGCCTCGACGACGAGCAGATGCAGAAGGGGTAACGAGAGCGAGGCATGTTTGCCGCCCGTCTAACCTCATGGTAACTTTTCTAGTGTTCTCGGAATGTTTTTTCGCGTAGACCCTTGGCTAGAGCATAATTGTCTGGACCTCTCTATCATTTGCAGGAGTTGCTACCCTTTAGAGCATCTCTAGCTTGATGGGTACCTTCTGGAGTACTCTCGAGGATTAGGAAAACATCTATAGAGGATTTGAAAGACAGGGGCTGCATAACTGTGGTAGTAGCGTCACCATGACTAAACAACATTTAAAGTAGCGAAATCACGGAGGTAATTTACATTGTTCGCTCATGTATCAAATGATTTTGCCAACAACGAATGAAGGACAATAAATGACTACAATACATCGGACTGGGGCTTCAAATATTTTTCATTGATGGAATCAGATAGTAAGATATGATTCTTGTCTGGAAAGTTCGTGCCGGCAATTCATTTCAGATTTATGGCGGTTGCATGTGATTGGCTGGAAGGCACCAGTTCAAGCCCTGACCCCTCAAGCGTGCCTTGGAAATTGCTTGAGAGCCCGTTTGCGGGAGAGGGCTGCCTGAGAGGGGTTATTGTGCCTAAGCGGTCCTTTTCCTCGCTAGGGATATGCCCAATCCCCTCTCAGGCACGGGAAACAACCAATTGACGACGCCGTTATGTCTCCGGGATATAGGGACAGTTCCGGGGGGGTATCGAAACATCTGCGGGGTCGCTATTCAAACTGCACACAGCACACCACAGACAGCTAGCTGTGCACCACCAGCACACACCACACAGCACACCACTGCCAGCCCGCTGGGCGTGCACACGCTGCTGAAGCCGAGCAATCTTTCTCAATATTTCTTCTCTAGGGGTTTGCTGTGCGTCATGTATTCTTTACTCACTTAGGATTTAATATTGGACGTGGAGAACAAGACCCAAGGCCTAACTCAAGAACGGTACCAGCTAGTAGGAGCGGAGGAGCGGAGGTTTCGACGGAAATGGATAAACATGAAAAATTGGGTGTGACAACGAAAGAAGGGTGACGAGTAAAACCTCTGCTGTTTCTCTCTACTGTATAATATCAGTCCACACAAGGACATCACAGCAGTTCATTTCATCCCACTTATTCTGCGCTGTCTACTGTCTACCCAACAAAAGAATATATAGAATAGTGTGGCAGGAACGACCCTCAGGCAAGTCTGAGGCATCTTCTCAGGCACCGTCAGGGAAAAACGAATGCATCCGAGGCAACTGTTGTCCTCGACCAAGTCTGGGGCATACCCTCAGGCAAACCTCAGGCAACAACATGCACCTCAGGCAAGTGCCTGATGAGACAGTGCGAAGAATGTTGCTGAACCGAAAATTTGTTAACAATTTCCACAGAACGAGCCTCCCTCCGATATTAATCCGGACACCAAATTCCTTGTTGTGGGATCTGGATTTGGCTCAAACTCACAATCTGTTTTCTGAATCTGGATTTTGAGCCCGAATCTGTCTACTGTAAGGCTGATCCTTTTACACCTGGATTCCTTTCCCAAGAAGCCTCACTTTTCAGGATGGGCAGAAATCCGGCTTTTTACGCAGATTCTTCAGTTCGTTTTTTGTCGACAAAATCTAGCTTCAGCTTTTTGGGTGGCCTGCACCCGAAAAGTTTGGAAGAAATCAGGACGATACCCACCAAGATTTCTCATCCCAAAAAGTTCACCGCTGGGTGAACCCAGACGACATAATCGGCGAGTGCGACCTGAGTTCTTGACGTATCGCTCCCACCAAGGGCTCCCAGCAACTCTACGCTGAAGGGCTTGTTATTCTTCACGCTGGCTGTTGATGGTCACTAGGCACGCGTGCGTAAAATTAACATATCGCATTCCACCAAGCATGGGAGACGCCGAAACAGGCCAAACCGCCAGGAGACAGCAAAAAGAGCCGAATTGCCAGAAGAGGGGAGAACACCGCAACTGATTTCTCGCGCCCTAGGTCACCGATCGAGGCCAGACCGGTCAGGGCGTGCTCTCTGTTTCTTGCTATCTGCCGGAGTAGATTTGCTCAGCAGCTCGTTGATCCAATCATTCGAAATCGTCGTCTGCGTGTACACAAGCTGCCGGTTGAAAATTGTTTATCAAGTGAAGCACGCCAGAACAAAATCACAGTTAGTTCGAGAGAGCAACGGGCACCACGCGCATGCTTCTCTCGGTCGATGGAGCGAACGCGCTGCTGAGCGAATCGACTCCGGCAGAGAGCAAGGAACAGATAGCACGCCCTGACCGGTCTGGCTTCGATCGGCGGCCTAGGGAACGAGAAAGCAGTTGCGATGTCCGCCCCTCTCTGACAAAAGCGGCTCTTTTTGCTGTCTCGTGGCGGTTTGGCCTGTTCCGGCGTCTGCCATGCTTGGTGCAATGGGATTGTGCTTGGTTTACGCACGCGTGCCTAGCGACCATCAACAGTCAGCGTGCAGAATAGCAAGCCCTTCGGCGTAGGGTTGCTGGGAGTCCTTGGTGGGGGCGATACGTCAGGACTCAAGTCGCACTCGCCGATTATGTCGTCTGGGTTGATTTACACCCACCCCCCAAGAATCTGCCTCGGTAATCCGGCTTACTGTAAGAAACGGCCGGACTTTTTCCAGCCGGTTGCCCATCCTGACAGTGAGGTATGCCTAAGACCGGAACAATGTAGAAACATAGACATTCCTTTTGAACCCCAACTCTCATCTCCACGCAACATATTATTTTTCGAACGCAAGGTGATGGATGGTTTAGAAGTACATGTTGGCATCATACAACACTATGATTGATGGTCCTTGCTAAACTCTCTCTCCCGGATTCCTGTCTCACGATGAATTCGTTGTGATGCGGCAAGCAAAAATAAATGCTTGCCGTTCGTTGGCAGAGATGCGCAGCTGACAGAGATCGATTCCAAGTGGCTCCATTCGGCGATCGCAATGAGGCTATAGGAGACAGCTGGAGACACGGAACTCGAAAAATTCGCCTTTCTTCATGCTTCAAGA